AGTTGTAAATGAAAAGAAATGTATTTAAAAGTAGTGCTCCTTAACATTTACAGAATGTCACATTGCTCCAGACATTGCTTTGGAACCTGCAACACAGAGCTAATAAGGTACATTTTTGCCTCACATTTTTATAAACTGATGTCTTATTTGTATATTTTAACCCTGAAAGCTATAGAATAAGTGTTCCTTTAACTAGAGTGAGAAAAAGTCATACCCCCATCTATTCCTCAGTTTATCTCTTCCCCTCACACAGTCTTTCCAAGCCAATAGGAATTCCAAATGCTTTATGTTCAAAATATATCCAAAACCCTGTGGAAGATAAATCACTCAAGCTTTTGGTAAAATAAATAAGACTATCTTTCCCTATTGGCTTTGGAGTAGGTAAAGAGTTCTTAAATAGGGCACACATCTGCTGATTCTAAATTTTTTAAAAAATGATAAATTATACTAAATGAAAATTAAATCTGTTCCTCAAGCCACATGATTAATACAGTAAAAAGACCACTGAGAAGAAAGTTTTTCCAATTCACATATAAGACTTATATCCAGGATTTGTAAAGAATCCTTAATAGAAATAAGAGAAAGACAGGCAGTCCTGGAAAGAAAAAATATGGCAAAGATTTTAATAGGCAATCACAAAAGGATAGCCAAGTAAACAAAGAGAGGTTTTTCAATTATTTAGGTTTTCAAGGTATTTATCTTGAAATTTCAAGTTAAAACCACAATGTGATATCACTAGATCCCAAGTTGGAAAGGCAGATTATAGTAAATGTGGACAAAATTGTGGAGGCACCAAACTTTTTTATACCCCCCTATGGGAGTACAAATTAAAACAATTATGTTAGAAAACCATTTGGTAATATCTACTGAAGTTGAATATATGGCAACCCCAGGAATTCCAGTATCAGATATATGCCCAAGAGAAGAACACATGCACCCCCAGAGCTGGAGCAGATTAGAAAAAAGGGTAAAGTTGGCTTTTTGCTAGTTAGCTGCTGGGATTTTGGCATTGTAACTACTGGTATAGAGAGGTGTCTCTGGATTCTTCTAGTTTGCCTCCTGCGGCTTTCTCTTGGATCTTAGTCTCTGCTCAGTATATGCTGTCTAAAGAAGGACAGAAGGCATCTGGCCATGTGCAAGCCAGTAAATTCTCTCTCTCTCTCTCCCCCACAACCTCTCTCTCTCTCTGTCTCTCTCTCTCTCCTCTCTTTCTCTCCCCCCCACCTCACTCAATCTCCCTTTCACTATTTAAATAAATGATGTTATAGATTTATAGATTTTTTTCTCACCATCTGTTTGTTTTTGGGTCATGTTCTGTATTCTCAAGTTTCTATCTGAGGACCCATCAATTGAGTTAACCCCGACTTGCTCCAGTTCAGCTATGATATAACTCATGAAATGAAATATATGTTTATACACATAGAGAGAGATTTCTATTTTCCATTCAAAATAAACCACTTCTGACCTTCTCTACTGTTATCTCCAATCCAAAATAACTGCAGTAGCAGCAGTATTGCCCCTTTAGCATCACTGTAACTTTACCTATAGCAAGAATGAAGATAACTTAAGACAGAACCTAGGTGATATCTGTCCTTGGCTCATAACCAGTAGTGGCTTCCCATGTCAATCAGAATAAAATCTTCACCTGAGACAGATACACTTGGCAGCTTATATCAAATAAGATCACTACCTATACCTGTCACTTTATCCCTTTATTCTGCTTTATTTCTCTTTATATTTCTCATCACTAATTGACATCCCATTCACTGTTACTTTTTTTTTAATTTATAATTCTTTACTACCACTTTGTAAGCAAAGAAAAGGACTTTATCTTTCTGCTTTCTATCCCTAACATTTAGAAGAGTGCCTGGTATATAATAGGCAATGAATGAGCCAATGTAATCATAGCCCTCTTTTAAAAGATAGGAAATCATGAGAGTGATTACAATAGAAAACCCCCCAAAAGAAGAAATTATTTCCAAGGTGTTGTTTCGGAGTACAACCCAGGTCTCTTTCCCTTCTCCTCTGCTCTTTCTCCTTCTGTCCTTCTCTTGCCCATACCCACACATGAAAGGAATAGAACAGGTCTCCTAATGGATGTAAGTATAAATGCAAAGTACACTGTTCAATTTATAACTTTATTCACGTGATAATCACAAAAATGCATTCTGTCTGATGTGTATGTGTGTGTAATGACAGACACAATGTAAGCCTGGTGATTCAGAATTAAATGAGGATGGGACCCTGGCAAAGATGCATTATATTGGAGTTGGGCATTTTACATGAACCTTGCTTTGTGTTCATGACCTTTTGAATACAAGATGGTAAAGAAACTTTACAAATCTTCTTTAGTAGGTGAAAGGGCCTAAAACTCTCTCTGAAACACAACTGAAGGGTCAAGTTTTGATCTGTGACTGCTCCCTTCAATATCTTGCATAAAAAAAAATTTCAAACAAAATAAGACCATGTTGTTAAGTCCTGCCTGTATTGCTATAATCAAAAACTTTTCAGGCCCTAAAGGTGAATTTTTTGTAAGTGAGTTGTCCAGAACATAAGATTGTTTCAATCAGAAGTCTCACATCCCTGTTTTCAGAATGAATCATAAAGCCCTCGGAGCAGAAAAGTGTATTTAAGGTTAGTGCCTGTTTTTAATACAGATATCCATTACCTTTTCAAAGGGGCTACCCAATGGGACTTGCCACCTGATAGCTGGTCTCAAATCTAGCTAAAAGCACACATAGGGAGAAGGTAAGGTCATTTGGTTGTCAACCTACTTGACCCTTCAGTTTTGATTCAGAGAGAGTTTTAGGCCCTTTTACTTACTAAATAGCTGACTACATGATTTTGCTGGTTTGTTTTTTAACTGAAAAAAGAAGTAGTAAAAATAATGTCAAGGCCCCAAACACACAAAATTTGCTCAACTACTAGTATTAGTCTCCTTCCCACCTCCTTCTCAGGAAGCAGTTAAACATAGCATTAAGTCATAACTTTAAAAGCAGATTAAATAATAAAGTGAAGCCTAAGGTACATTGAGAGTAGCAAGGTCCGTGTCAGAAAATCATTCATTCATCAAGTTGTTAAAATCTTTTAATAAGACAGAAAATAATGGTTAAAAGGAATGATGACTTCTACTTGTAAGTGAATATGAAATAACCATTAATGTCAAAGGAGACAGCAATGCCAAAATTGAATTTCAGACTTACAGACCAGGAAGGGAAATGTGGAGTAATGAGGATTATGTGTATAACTACAAGGTTGGAATGCTGGCTACATGAACATATCATACAAACTCGAGCAAGTAACTAAACCTCTCAGAATCTCAGCTTTCCAGAAATACAAAGTGAGGGTGGTTAAAACACACCATCTCGCATGACTTTTATGAAAAGTAATTAAAGTCTTAGATCTAAAAATGTTTTGTAACAAATATGTTCTGCTAATGTATAGAGTGTATTACTGCGTTAATATTCTTGTTTTCTGTCTCCTAAAATCATTTCTCTAAGTATTAAGTAAAGTTACCCCCCATCCTTGAGATCTGCCTAGCCCTACTGTTTTAGATTAGATATTATTACTAATTAAATAAGAATTTTTTAGAAGTTCCATTTCTGAACTAGTCTGTTTAAATTAACTATGACCTTCTCTGAAACCCAAATTACTAATCCTGTACATATATGAATAAGCAGCTCCCTGAGGCCCTTAAGTGTAGAGGACTTGGAGATACAGCCTGACAGCTAAAGAACTCTTGCCTTTCTCTATCCCAAGCTGGAAATTGTCTTGTTTTCCTAAGTATTTTCCTGTCTATAATATAAAAAATAGAATATTTTCTATAATAGAAAAAGGAACTGCTTAATGAACACTTACCTTATGCCAAACACCGTGTAATGCTTTATTTTGTGGAATTCTCACAACAGACTAAGTATTCTGCGCTGTTATTACCACTTATTGACAAGAAGACTATAGTCAGTGATTTGACCGATGTCACATCTAATAAGTGTCAGAGTCAGTGTTTAAACTAAAGTCTGCCTAGTTCCTTTCCTTCTATTGATTATTATTTCCTACATTTCAACTTACTTTGCATGTCTGTTTGCTTTTCTGTCCCTTTCTACTTTTTTTTTTAAAGATTTATTTATTTGTACATACAGAACTGGGGAACAGGCCAGAGGCCCAGGGGCGGTGAGAGGCTTCACCAGAGACAGAGTGGGGAGCAGAACAGGCAGATCGACGAAGCACACTGTTGAGGGGAGCAGCAGGCAGGTCAGGAGGGGTCCGCCACGCCATGTGGTCTCCTCCGGGGCAGGCGGGATTTGAACTCATGCAGAGGTAGCTTTAGCCTCTCAATGAAGTGCTTTAACCCGCTGCGCCACCAGGGAGGGCCCCCTTTCTACTTTTCATACTTGGTGTTCCCATTACAAGTAGGCTAGAGGCTTATAACAAAGATGATAAAGGTTGGTTCCTGTGCTTAAGGAACTGTTTTAATCCTTCAGAAAGGTGACAGGTGAACAAATCACTCTGTAACATAGAAGGACTTAAGAGATCCTGAAATACAGAACATCAGTCTCCCCACCTATAATGTGCAAATAATATTCTATCATTGAAGGTTGTTATTAAGATAGAGTGAAATGCTTATGTCAAATGTTTGGCAAAGATCCTGAAATATAGTTAGTGCTCAGTATATGAAATCTATAATGTGGCCAGACAGCCCCAGGTAAATAACTAGGATACAAAGCTAGAAAAGCAACTTGGCGCCAGATTTTGAGAGTTATGAATACCACTCTAAAAGAGTTTGTACCTTCAGATTGATAAAAACAATTCTTCTAAGGTCATTAATCATCCTGAAAAGAAATTAGAGTTAATGCTATTTAACATTACCCTTCATACTTTTTTTTGTAAGTGAAATGGAGTTGATGGAACAGTTGTAACTGACTTAAAGATGTTTTGTATTTGAAGTTCTGAAAGGAAAGATGAGATTTTCAAGTTTGATGCCCTCTATTTTTTTCCCACAGTAATTAGTGAATGCCAAAGACAGCAACTGGAGTCTGTGAGCTATTCTTCCCGCTACGCTCTGGGTCTCTTTTATGAAGCTGGCACCAAGATTGATGTCCCTTGGGCTGGGCAGTACATCACCAGTAATCCCTGCATACGCTTCATCTCCATTGACAATAAGAAACGCAATATAGGTCAGTACCTCCATTATTTCCCTTAAATACAGTAACAATAGTAAGTGTAGATCATGAATAATGCTGTTTAATTGAGTGTTGCCATTCTGAACAGAGCAAGCATTTAACTCATAGCCACAAGGGATAAAATTTAATGTCACATTTGGCCATTAATAAAATATACAGTGAAACCAACAAAGTTTCTCAAAAAATCATTCACTACTTTGTATGTATTAGTGAGTTTATGAAAATGATATCAAGAGGTTTAAGATTTCAGAAGGGCCCAAATTCTATTGTTTTGTTATAGATCTATCCATATGCAAATTCACCTCTCATCATTTACTTCTTGGTAGAGTTTGATTTTTGTTTGATAGCTTTGTTTTTAACATGTGATGAGTGCTGCTCTTTCCCCTTTTGGGGTTAGGATTAAAAAGTGACTTTTACTGTTATGAAAACCCTTCACTTGGATATAATTTTATTTAATTTTCATTTGGAAGACAACATATTACAGTACTTTGTATTCTGTGTGACTAAAATGACAGGTAAAATGTTTCCTGAGAGCTGTACTAGATTGGGATAAAAATCTACACTCCACTTTTGATTTAAATAGTTATTAAAAATTAGATTTGAATTGCAAGAATAAGCATAAGCTGATTCATTTCAGACACAAAGGTGAAAGTGTGTTCTTATTTGTAGGATTGTGTTGATCCTTGAGATACTGCTTTTTATGGAATAAACTAATGATCAAACTCATTTTTTGAAAGTTGCCATCATTTCAATTTGCTACAGTGTTTTATGATGCAATGATGGACTTTATCAAGCCATTAGCTTGAAGTCTTGCTTGATAAAATCACCAACTAACATCTCTTGGCCAGGCAGACTTTATAATGATGGAACTGGGCTGGTGCATGGTTTTATATCATAGCACATGATCTTAGGAAAATGTTTCCTTTTTAACTTAAAACTCCCTAAGGACTGAACTGTTTATGTTAACATGATACCACATATATGTACAATCAGCAATGAACTAACCATTTTTTAACTCTATAGTTGATTTGTACTAACCAAAGGAAAATAGTCCTTATCTTTCCAAGTCCTTGGCCATAAATGAGACATTATCCTTTATATGTTGCTTTATAAGATTTGATATCTTTTAGGATATAGTCAATGAACTATAACAGAACTATAAAATAATTTAACTTGTTTAAACAGCATTAGGAAATTTGTATTATTATCTGCTATAGACTGAACTATATCCCCAAGTCCACATATGGAAGCCCTAAAATCCAATATAGTTATATTGGAAGATAGGACTTTTAAGATGTAGGATCCTAATGCAGTTGGATTGGTGACCTTACAAATGAGGTAAAGAAAGAACTCTCTATTCTCATGCACATACCAAGTAAAAAACAAATAAGGAAAGCAAGAAGGTGAGCCATTGCAAGCCAGGAGGAACTCTGCTGCTGATTCTTTGATCTTTGATGAGTCAGCCTCTGAAAGTGAGAGAAATAAGTTTCTATTGTTTAAGACACTCAACCTATGGTGTTTTGTAATGGCAGTCTGAGCTAACTATACATAATCTAGGAGAAAGTTTGAAGAGAGTTCAGGATTGGTTGATTCAGGAGTTGAGGACATATCTTCAAGGATCTTGGATATAAATTTCTCTGCTTTTTTTCCTTCTCTTAATGTTGACATCCTGAAAGTTCTTGTTTCAACATGGCAGTAACTGGTAGAGTCTCATCTAGATCCAACAACATACTTAGGAAGAGGAGGGATGATTATTATCTCTGTCCCTTTCTAAAAAGTCCAGGACATTTTTCTGGAAATTCATCAATAAACTTCATCTTGTATCTCAAAGGTCAAAATTGGGTTACTCACCAGGCTGAACCAGTCACTGGCAAAGGGGGTAAGGGGACACTACAGTAGAAAGCCTAGATAAATCAAGACCAGCTGTTGGAACTGGTATTAAGATCTTACTTTTAGTCATGTGAGAGATTTGTACCTGGATAATAGTGTTCTGTTAGGAAGAAATAAGGGAATAGTGGATGCTGAATTGGCAACAGATAATGTCCATTATCTTCACAGTTGCTGAAAGTGACTTAAGTTGAGATATAAAGATAATTGTGTTTATTCAAAATTATCTTTGAAAAATCCCTTAAAACTACATAACATTTGTAGACTAACATAACTTTCAATAAATTCACTATAACCATTTCCCTAGCATTCAATATGTTCCATTTCTTTGGGTAAGGCCAGATGAAATTGTTGGCATACATTTATAGAACAGAGATTTTTCCTATGATGAAAAGCACATAGGAAAGAAAGAAATAGCAATCATGTTGCTGACAGATTAAATACACTGTAAAGTAGATTTAAGTGTGGGATGGTGGATAAAAGCATCCATCTACAATGCAGAAGCAATCTATAAAATCAGAGTCATGCAAATTTGAGAGATTGCAACATAGAAATATTTATAAATATTCACATTGACTGCATTTGTAGTAATAAAAATACAAAAAAAGTTTATTGACAATCACACAATACAAAGCTAGAGAAACATATGAATTGGAAACCATGTTTTTACTACAACCCATGGTGGTGCCACTTCAGACAGCAAATAAATACCTTCTTTCATTTGTTTTATAGAAAGTTATTCTTGGATTATGCAAGTTTTAAGTTATGGAAGACCTTTTCTAAAGGCATTCTCTAACATAAAATCCAACTGTATTGCATTTAAACTATTTTCTCACCATCTAGAGCCAGAATGCTAAATGGTCTTAGTTCAGTGCATGTTATATAAATGTCCATATATTGTAACTATACTATATTTTATTGACATCTATGTAGAACAATAAGAGTTGTCTCTTCCTGTTACACTATGCCACACCCACACTTATTTGGAGGATTTCATTGACTCAAGAATTAATGCTACAATACTTCAGAAACTCAACTAATGAAGGAGAATATTTGTGTTCTGTCAAAGGAAGGGAGCCACAAGATAGATGAAGGAAAACAGAGTTGTGTTCATAAAAGACTGAGTTGTTAAGTCTTGAAAAGAGACAGAAGATAAAGGATGAGTGACCCAAACCAGACAAAGGTCAAGAAGTAATCATCTGTCAAATGTCAGAAATAAGGAGTAAAAACAGAAAGCCACAATTGCAACCAAAATCTACATAGGCAAAAGGGGCTGAATTACAAGATGAACTAGAACTTCAAGTTATGTATATGACACAATATAATTGGGTCTGTGTTTCCTAAAACATATTCAGTGGGACATTAGTTTTTTGAGATGCCTTTTTAGGAATGGGTCCTTTTAACTTTACCTCTATTTTGGAAAGTGTCAGGGCATATTATCCTACTAATAGAATTCTTAAATAAAAACACCCTCTCCCTCCATTTAATCTAGATTTTCCCAAATGTATTTAACTGTGGAATATTTTATTTAGGTATCTAATATCCTACAGAAATGGTTCCCCGGGACACAACTGAGAAACCCCTATTTAATTACTTTTCACACTACTCATCTGATTGGGAATTATAAGCCATATGAGAAGGTCTGTGAGGTTTGGTCCTAAAGTGAGAAATGTGTAATTATTTATTGTTTGTTTATTTTAACTAAGGTAATAGTGGGTCCCTCCATCAGGTATTACCACAACAATGTAATCACCACCAACTCATCCATTGCTTTTCCTTCTCTCCTTGTTTTTAGCCCATCCAGTTCCCTCCCTACATTGGTGCTTCAATTCTGTTGTTAGTTATCAAGGGTAGTTGTTAAGCTTGTCTTTATCTATTAGGTTTATTACTTTATATTCCACATATTAGTGACATTTATTTTCTTCTTCTGACTTAATTTATCACATTATCCAATAAAGCTTCATCCGTGTTTCTGCAGATGGCATGAATTCATCTTGTTTGGTCATTGAGTAACATTCCATTATATATATTTACAACATCTGCTTGACCCACTCATCTGTTCTGGGGCACTTCAGTGGAGAATCCTGAGATTTTTTTTAGTGATGGAAGAAGTTGTGTTGCAGATGAACTCAAATGTTGGTGGGGTTAGGGTTAGAGACAACTTAGGATGAAATAAAGTTAGTATCATTAATATTTTAAAAACTGTCAGTAAGATTGACACAGTTGAAAGTGGAATTTTGTACTTTAAAGACCTAGATTTAAATGCTGGCTTTACAACATGCTAATGATGTGATCTTGCATGACCTTTGTATCTGTAATATTATTTTTTTTATAACAAACGCTCTAAAAAAATTTAATAGACTAAACATAATGGAGATTTCATTCTTAGCCCCAACAGGGTTTATGACTGGTACATAAATTTCTTCAAATAGGTGATTCACCCAGACTTCTTCCATCTTCTGATTCAGCAAACTTCATTGAGTGGCTAAAAGAATTACTGTGCTCATAGGAATCAAATCAGTGTATTAAAAATGTGAATGGAGACTTTAGTCTTAGGAGACTTTGAGAAATGGCATACATTAGGAATACTCACATCCTGTTAGTTTTTAACAGTTAGGGGGTAGCACTTATTTGGAAAGGAACATGGAAATGTAGTAACAGGGGCCAAAAGTACATTTGGAAACAACATATAGGCAGGTCTGCTACAACACGTTAGCACAGGTATTATATGAAAGAAGCATATTGGGATTTTTATGGAGGCTTCATCATAAAGGCGTAATTAAATATTAATCTACCTCCCAGCCACCCTCCCCTTCCTGGAGGTAGAATTGAGCTGAAAGTTCTAAGCTTCTACTCATGGTCTTTCTGGTGACCAGCACCCATCCTGAAGCTCTCCTGGAGCCCACCAGGAGTTACTTTATTGGAACAAGGACACTCATTATCCAGGAAATTCCAGGTATGAAAGATCTTCCTGGTGCTCTTATCTCTTAGGAAATCACATGGATTTTAGGAGCTTTGTGCCAAGAAATGACGGGGAAAACCAGTGGGTGTGGCTGTTCTGTTTTTCACACTTCCCAAGGAAATTTCTGAGTTCTCTCCCAAGATCT